TCTCTACATTAATGCACGCTGAAGAGCTATTTCTAATGCGAACCTGTTGCTTTCTAGATGTAAGATAAGATGTGAACCATGTAAGAACAGATCCACCAATTCCAAGAGATGCAAGTCTGTGAATGAGTCAAATCAATTTGGTATTATAATCTACTGGCATTCCAACGAACATTATTCAACATCATCTATGTGCATCAACAGCAGAAACACTCCGAAAAAGCTATGCATTTTCCTATATTACTGAGTGTCACTCGTGCTGTCTGTTTTCCAGCATTTTGTGTATTGAATGTCTATAGGTAACTTTCAAGGTCATATCGGAACTCATTGAACCTATTATAGCACATTTCGTCTTCATTGATATAACATCTGGAAGTGTGTGGGTGTATTTAAACTATTAATACAACAAAGTTTTATTTTCATTTTCTTTGAAAAGCCCGGAAGAAGGGGAATCCCCATTGCAGTCCACTTCCTCATAAAGATATTTTTATATTCCATCTATTTTCAGTTGTTTATTTGATGGTGTTTACGTGACAAGATTACAATTAGGAATGAGGATTTGCCCTACGTTACCAAGCATGTTCTCAAATACTGTGATTACTTTTTCAACATACCAAAAGTACAGTACCTACTGTCATATTATAATTACTTTATTTCAAAGCCTAAAGACACAATGCAAAAGCAAGGTCCTCAACAAATGTCCGAGATCCAAACCTATCATTTTGAAAACTGTAATAACAGATAATTAAGTTTTGATCTCACAAAGTGGATATTATTCAACATTAATTGAGGGAAAAATAATTACTTATCGTTACTTTTCACCGATCCGGTAGCTCTCTTAAACGAAGCATGTGTCCAGGCCTATTTCCACATTGCTAGCCATAACTCAAGTGTTTTGCAGTGCCAGACTTTTTATTTATTTATTTATTTATTTATTTATTTATTTATTTATTTATTTATTTATTTATTTATTTATTTAATTATTATTATTATTATTATTATTATTATTATTATTATTATTGCTTTGACAGTAAGTGGGACAGAATTCTAAGTCTCATAACAATAAAAACTACAGACCTAGGTCCTGTATCATTATTCTTTTATTACCGTATGCTTACAATGAATTTCCTTCTTATTGTCATGCATTCATGTTTTTCTAAGAAAGTCTAATAATAGTGTTTTTTCAAATTGTATTCATATCTATTAGATCTTTCACTTTATACTAAAGCATCACCTAATATAAAGTTTAAAAGAAACTATTAATAAATGTATTAAAAGTATTTAGATATTTTTATAAGCTCCACCTCCCCTATGTTAACAAATCCAATTGGTGGTTTACCACATCCACTGCATACCGATGCAAACACTATAGTCTGATTGGTTATTGGTTCCTAAACCAATTGTATACAATCCTTAGCTCACATTGTGCGAGGTACATTTAGTCATATAGAAAGGTTGAATGAACATATAAGATTTTACAAGGTATCATACAGTATAGTACATTAATCTTGGAACTTGATTCTGTAAGTTGTTTTTTTTTATATATATATTTGTGTGTACTGTTAACTTTGTACATTAAACATTGTAATGCCAAGCTATGGGATGAACTGAATAGCTTGGTATGTTAATTAAATATAATTTATTACTTGACAAAGAATTCTTTTCCTGATTCTAATTTTTTATTAAAGCTAATTTTAAATAATTCATTTTAAACAATCCAAACATATTTGAACCCCTTTAAAAAAACTATAAGGTATCCCATAGGGGTGTCCTCTGAATAGGTGTTGGTCGTGCTGTTATGAATTTTTTCTCGGATTATTGCTTAAAATTTGTCCTCTTAATTAGAGTGTCCCAAAGGCGGAGTTCCACTTTATTGAATTTTATGCTTAAAGTCAAGCTTCGGAGGAAAACAACATTTTTGATATGTTGATTTTTCTAAGACACAATAAGCATATTTGACTAAAAAGTTGGGAACAGTAAATGAGATACAGATTTTTAAATATTTAAAAACTTGGGGAAATAGCGTTGTATGTTCAATATAGGTTTAGGCTTAATGTAGCATAAACAAATCACCCATCCATTAATCATTTTTTGAATTGCTTTATTAAATTTTTATTTATTAAAAGCTATGTATTAAGCCATGTGTGAAAAAAGCCATCAATATTGAGGTATTTGCAAGTACTATAAGCTTTCCACCCGCCCAAAGTTACAGATTTTATATAGTGGTACCTTTGTTGATTAGTATTTTATCATGTCCACCTATTATACCTATCCTTTAGAACATAAACTTTTCCTGTAGATTAACAGGTCATATATTAATATTAAATTATTATGGTAATTAATTTTTTTATAATTTTTTCGAGTTAGCGTTTTCGGGCCTTGCCTTTTCACACACTATCCTCAACGATCCTTTGGTTTTTTTTTATAAATAATATTTGCATTATAAATTCATGTTACTGCATTATTATTTTGCTTACTGAGAACTAATAACAACTAGTGCCAGTTGACACAGCAAAGTAAATACTGTACTCATTTCAATAGCTAAGTTCCTCCTTCACAAGTTTAATTTCCCACATAGTCTTCTTAATATCAAATGGTTAATAAATATAGACTCCCTGTGGGATCGAGTGGCTACTGCTTCTTACCTGTAAAATTAATTGTAGTTTGTTGTTTTTAGTTTATCTCTTCCTGCAAACATGATAAATTCCGACATTGCATTGACATGAAATATCAGAAGTGAAAAATTATTGCGTGGAAGTTAAATACATCAATATAATCCATCTGTGGCAGTGGTGGATCCAGAAATTCGCCGACAAGGGGTCCGACAATTTCAATGGCGGGGACCTAAATAAGGGGGCCGACTTGAGCCTTGAATAAAAGTCCATGGTAAGGTTCATGGGAAGAATTTTTACGGCTATGTGGCCCAAATTTGTACATTTAGACCATTAGGAATTGGCAATCAAAATAATGTTTTGGATAGGCAATTAATATTTTTGGTCCAACGTTCTTCGTCGTGGCGTTGAACGACGGGGTCCAGACCTTAAAGTCGTGACAGGTGGCTAGCCATAAAATTGTACCATTGTGGAGCTGAGGCGTCTGAGCCTTATAAATAATAATAATAATAATAATAATAATAATTTTATTTTTTATGTCTTGTGAATTTATTGTACTGATTTATTATATTTTCTATATATTTTTATTACAATTTTCGCCTGTAAGTGGGAACGAAGTGTCCCTGTTGGACGATTAAAATAAAATAAATAAATAAATAAACTTGTGAAAGTCCCTTTCTACGTGGAATTCATGGATTCGCCACTGTAATCTAAGCACAATATCCTTTTGATCACACCCTGTGTTTTATAATGGAGCGATTTGATGATATAATGTAAGAATTTATAATCTAATTCAGCTTTGATGAAATGTAAAGATATCTTCTTGTACTTCCTAGTATTCTTTCGAACTGAAGTCCTTGATAATGGACCCAAATGGAAGTAAAATTTAAATTTTGATTTTCTCAAAGTAAACAAGTAATGTTAAAATTTAAATTCCAAAATTCATAATATAATAAATGCATCATAATATTGTTTGTGTTGGGAAGTAATTTATAATTTAATCTATTCAGATTATATCCTGTACATCCTCCTCAAGTTTTAGGATTAGATTTAAATCAGATTCATGTGCGAAAACAAATTGATCTTGGTTAACTAGGTGATAAAACTAAATGCAATCAAATGTAACCTTCAACAAAGGCCTGCCTTTATTACAATATTCTTTACAAATTATATTGAAAATTCAACATTACAATATGTATAGCTTTAGTAATTTAAAAAAAGTCTTTAGAGAGTAGTTCAGCACAGGTAGAACAGAACATCAGAATTGTACATCAAGGAAGGGACATCCTTAGGGTGTACATTCAGGGGCTGAAGACCTGGTGGGGGTTTAGGGGAACTGGCGAGTATTAAGTCATTTTTAAGTGGCAGTAAAATGCATAGAGGATTTTACAGTGGCTGGAGGTAGGAGGCAGGATGCTTACCAGGGGCGGTGCTAGCAGGGGTCCAGGGGGGCAATACCCCCTTTGTGGACCTCTGGACTCCCCGCTTGGACCCCTCTGTTAGGGAATTTCGAACAAGGTCGTCCGGGAAAAATGAAATCTTGAATGCCGAAAGTACAATCAAAGCATGCCTCATTAAGCTGTCAAAATATTAGGGATTAAAAACTGTTTAGTGCGAGCTGTGCTTTTGCATGTGCGAGGTTTTATATACTATTGCAATTGTATGGGTTGCAGCGGTGCGCCAGTTCTTCCCCGACAGGGGCCTAGTACCTCTGACAAGGGGACTAGTACTGCCAACATTATTTTTATATAAAGAATCCCATAATTAGCACAAAATTTTATTTTAATAAAAAAATTTCCCAACAAATTTAATTTAGGCTTTCTCAATGGGGGAAGGGGTATAGACCCCATTGCCAGGGAGGTTGGACCCCTTTGTCAGGGAATTCCTGAAACCCCCATCTGAGGCTTACTGTAAGCCCCTTGATCTTCCCTAAGGTGTTGGTAGAATATAAGCTCCCCAGGGAGCTGAGTATGTGTTCCATATGTGTTTGACCCAATGACCGGGGTAGTAAAGTGAATCGCTTAGAGGCATTGTGCATGAAGCGCTATATAAGAGCGACATATTATTATTATTATTTATCAACAAAATATAAGAGCTTTTTATAAATATTCATTGTTTTCTTTCTTCTTGAAAGGTTTCTGAATTTTGAAAAACCATCATGCTTAAGCTGATTATCAGAGTCTGCATATTACTACTGAGTGTTGCTATGCCAACGTTTTCTAGTTATTGCAGTGAATATCCTGTTAGCGGTGAGTTTCCATATTTTTCTACTTTGTTATGACGATAAGTTAAAAAGTAACTTGATAATATATTCATTTATTGCAAAGCATTGCTTATTTCTTTCAACATAAAATGAGAATTGTTATCCGGTTTGGAAAGGTTTTGTATGTGGACCCGTTATTTGAATGTTTACTATTTGTGGGGGTTATAAATTGCACTGCCTGATGAGTTTACTATATATATTTTAATCAACTTAATAGGAATTAAATCCTTGCAATAAGTCTTTTGTTTAAGTTCAAAGTGCATTGTGCTAATCGTATCCGCTATAGATTTATCACCAGCAGGATCCACATGGTCAAATGACATCTTATATTTACATAAACCAAATAATAATCTTACTAATTATTTTGTAATAATAATAATAATAATAATAATAATAATAATAACAACTAGACTTACTATGTCTGTTTGAACAACAGAACATAGGGCGTTTCCCCATTGCTTAAAAATGAGAAATGAAGTTGAAATTGCAACAGAAAGAAAAGTTGTTAAAAGGTATGAAATAAAAAAAAACAAGGAAAACCAATATAGTTTTAATGAAGTGGAATAAAATGAAATGGAAAAAAAAAGAAAAGAAAACCAAGTTCACTGCGATGTTATTAATGAGAGTTGAACTATAGCGATTCAATGACTGAAAGCAAAAATTGTTCATGCATATCACGGTAGTTTTAAGTTTCACCTAGCTGGTTTAAGCGCTTTAGAAAACGCAAATTGCGTATAAATAATTTAATCAACTGTCAACAAAAATTGTTAAATGGTGAATCGTCACCAAAATTTCACCATGAAAAACTATTCTGCAAAGTGTCATTTTTATCCATCTATTACTGGGACCTAAGCAATTTAAATGACCTTCCAGTTTACACCCGACCTTGACTGATTTGTCGCCAGCACATAATACTATTTTCCTTGTACAGTAACTTGGTTAAACTCGGGATAATAACAAAAATGTAATCATTTCTTTACTCGACCTTGACAAATTGTTATACAAGGTTTTAATTATACCCATTGATTTTTTTTTAAAGAGATATTTAGGTCTGGGCCCTAAAAAATTGAAATGACCCTCCAATTTACACCCTTGACTGATTCGTCGCCAGCACATAATAATTTCTTCCTAAATTTTTCCGAATGTTTCATTCAGATCAGTTGATCCGTTTTTGAAATATGTGGTCTGGGACGTTTTCCTTTAGACGGTCCTCAGATCCACACAACACATCAACATCAACATCACAACTGACCAATTTTTGAAATATCCGGTGTAGACTGTTTGACCTTAAATCAATTTAATTGGTCCTCACACGCACACCCCACCATAGATTGACACTAAATATTAGGAGGCACATCCTTGATATATGGCCTATGCTTCGACAAAGCATGGACAACTTCTACGCATGGGAAGTGACCAAAGTGACGGCCAGAACAAAACAGTGCAAATAGATAGGAAAAATATATGCAAGAAAAAAGGGAAAAAAATCAAAACAAAAACAGTGGCTTTTCCCAGTACTGCTGGGAAAAGCCAATAATAACAATTATATTTTTTTGACAAAGGAAAGTATAATCTTGCCAGGAGCAAGGAATAGGTGTAAACCAAAACAGAAAATTGCTCTTATATTCAGGTAATCAAATACAATCAATTATTACTGTATATTCACATTTGGTTGCATTTTTTTTAATTTCTCATTCAAAAAAAATAAAAAACCGTAAAATCTCAAATTGAAGCCCTGGGCTTCTTTTTTTTGCGAACTTTGGGTGGGCTTCTTTTCGAGGTGGGCTTCTTTTCAAGGCTACTTTTGTGGAGTAAAGGGGAGGGCTTCTTTTCAAAAAGAATGCTGTACATTTTGTGAATTTGTAATATGAAACAATAAATAAGGTCACTATATCATCAATCTATATCATGGAGTGTATTTAACTGGCATTAAATCACCTAAATTACTGCATAAAGCAAGCTTTTTTTTTTTTGAATTCATGTACAGTATATGTACTGTCTCTTGAGAAGAAGCCTATGGGCTTCTTCTCGAGGCTAATTTTGCAAACTAAGGAGAGGGGCTTCAATTTGAGATGGGCTTCATCTCAAGATTAAGCCCACTGTGCTTTAGTTCGAGGTTTTACAGTAATATAGAAAAAAAAATTTAAATAGTTTTATAAAAAAAATAATCCTATCAATCTATATAGGTACCTTTGAATTTTTATCTTCGCCATCTGTTAAAACTTATGCGATCAATATTGCAGAAATTATATATACTGTAATTATTCGAATAAATGGGTTTTGAGGGGGCACCACCACAAAAAAGTTTTAATTTTTATTAGGCATGTTATAGAACCTGTTTACTGTTACTCTTGGTTTTCTCTTTGAAGTATTTTATTATGGCAGTTCATATGGTATATTAATTGTACTAATAAAACCATGAAAAGTAAATATTAAGTCCAGCTGATTCCCCCTAGGGCATAATAACCTTACTATATAATCATGGAGGGACTATTGAAAAGAAGATCACTCGGCAACAGATCCCTTTGACGCGACAAACCAATGTGTTCCCCGCCTTTTGATCGCATGTGGGCGTATTATCTTATTATTCACATTTTTTCGTTAGCAACAACTTGGCAATGACATGCGTTATACGCTTCAACACAGCAGTTGTGCGATAACCCGTTAACTCATAATATCTTTATAATTAACAATGTTCCCCTTATTGGATTTTTTTGGACTTTTAGTATGTTGTTAGGTGTATATTTCAGGATTAGATTCTGCAAAATATTTCTGTTACAATTATTTCTGTGTTCATTGTAATTTTGTCTAAAGATCAATTGGTTCGACTATAAAGCTGAGGCAGCATTAAACTGAAAATTACTCTGATTTTGGATTGAATTTTCAAATAGTTACCCTTGTTAACCTTAAAATGACTTAGTTTATTATAATCCTCAATCATTTATTAATTAATCTGTTAAAATTAGAATTATCAAATTTTATCCAATTTATGGAAATTGAAGTTGAAATATGCTATACTTTCAAAGTTCATGTAAATGTTTCATTAAATTTGAAACTCTTTTTTGTGGAAAATATTAATATGTTTGATATTTCATGACCGAAAAATGTACCATCTTTCGCTTCGTCACACTCACACCAATGAGAACAGAATAGTCATTGTGTATACCACTTCGCACTTAGCCTTGCATGAAATGACCCGACCCCCCCCACCCTTTGATGATGTGTACATGGTCGATGAACTGGGAGAGATGGGAAGAATTGTTGATTATTGCTAGATCGGATTATGTTTTAAAAAAAGCAAAAAATATGAAATAGAATTCCTATTTGTAATAATTATCTGGTTTTCTTAATGAAAATGATTACATCCTTATAGGAAGTTCCTTACAGTTCACTGACCCTGACCCCACAAATCTGCGAATTGACGATGTTGGAACAGCTACATTTCTGGCCTGCTGCGCAGGTAATTATGATAGTATAACCTGGTATTTCAAGGACAAGTTGTATCCCAACTGGAACATCTCGAAACCTCAACTCAGAAACTATATCAGTTTTAAAGAAAGAGGCCAAGTGTTGCAGTTTTATGAAGTTACATACGAAATGGAAGGGTATTACAGATGTGTGATTTCAAACAGTAAGGGAGAGTCACTAACATTCAAGCAAAGGCTGTTGGTCAAACGTAAGTCATATTTGCTTTTTGAAGAAATTCAAACATCCCAAAGCAAAATTATTAGATGTATCTTAGGTCTTGGACGTCCTGCACATGTTGGATATAATGAATTTCTAAATTAAATTGATTGCCAATTGATCTCAGAGTTAAAGAATAAAAATTGTATCATATATACAAGATTATTAACAATATTTCCCCTGTTTATTACAGTGGCGTAGCTATTGGGAATCAAATGTGGGCACGTGCCCTAGGCGCCGGGTTTCGGGGGCGCGGAAATGGGAGAATGAGAATAAAAAGATACTGTAAGCACTTTTTAGAAAATCATGACAAAATTGATGTATGTCATCAGGCATGAATATTTTTCAGTTAATAATAAGAATCTGAATGTAGTTGTTTTTATACAAATCTTGTAGACAGAAGCTATTTCAATCGCTAGATGTGAGCACTCATTCAGCAAGCTAAAGTTCTTCTACCATATCTCAGAGCCAATCAATTAAGACTATCTGTTTTAGCACTCCTTAGTATTGAAAGCAAACAACATTAAATTTGATCATGTTATTAACTTATTTGCTGATGCAAAAGCATGCAAAATTTTGTACTCTTTCCCCCAAGTGCCAAAACCTCTAGCTATGCCACTGGTTTATTAGCCTCCCCAAAGGAGTGAAGCTCTGGGGATGCTATTTTTTTTGCCTATGTTTTTGTTCATGATGTCGCTGTTGTTTATTTTGGTCATTTGTTTGTTAACACAATAACTAAAGTTTGGTAAAGTCTGATTGGTTTCAAACTTGGCAGAATGCAAGATGGTAATAAGAAGACAGCACCTATTCTTTTTGGTACATTTGTGAATATGCTAATTGCTCATTAGCATATGGCTGTAGCTAGGTTGCAGCGCCCCTGCCTTAACAGCTCATTATACTCAATAAAAAGTTAAAATTCATTATATTTCACAAAAGAAGATAAAAATCATTACAGTGTATCAAAAAGTTAAAATTTTATTTACCCACGGCCCTGTGATTGGAAGGTTGCAAATATCTAAACACCTATTTACACAGAATGCAACAGTGATAATAATATACTGTTGTGCAGTGCAATCCATTTATACAGCGCACGACAACAGCCACGACGTAAGCAACCTTTGTGAATTGTTCTGCAGTCTTCATGCCTGATAAAGGACGACCAGAGCCAGTGATTAAGTGATTGGTTAGAATACTTTTTTCACACATATGTTTTTGGAAGTACTGTAGGAATTATTCTATGCTGAGTGGCATGTAAAGTAGTTGCATCGCGTTCAGAATGAATTACCATTCAGAACTTAATTCTACTTTGTTTACGCTGTCGTGTGCCATTGTTGCCATCTGTAAATAGAACTTACTGCACCGAAAGCTTCTGTTCTATACTGACTTGAACAGGTATCTTCCAAATCTGATATCTGCTTATGAAAACTCACATCTGGTTGTGTGCTCAAGCATTCATAATAATTTATCTATTTTATTTCATTGACAATCACCTCAAACATGGCTAATGAAGCCACTCAAGGTGAGGGGTTACTTATTCTAATTGAATTCACGAAAGATTTCAATTGGGAAGGTTGAAAACAAAAGGAAAACAGTATGATGGCAATGGGTGCCAAAGAGAACAGAACAACGGATGAAAACATCTTAGCTTTAGAGAGAACTAGCGTCAGTGGATGGGATGTGAAAGCATGATGAATGTCTTACAAAAGTGCGCCGTTGTGGCAAGAGGGAAAAAAGATCTTCAAAATTGATATCAAATTTGTTATCAACTTTATTATTTTCATTTTGGTACAAAAAATCTCTTACAGCACCTCAGACGGGAACGATGTTTCCAGTACAACAGCCAGATTGTGTCAACAAGTCTGCAAGGATCGGCGAAAACATTACGTTCTACTGCGAGTACTTCATCGGAGAAAGTGAAATCTGCCCCTCTGTTGTATGGCAAAGGAATGAGACATCTCAACTTTACGTATTTGGTTACGAATTTTATCTTGGCAGCTATTCCAACTTTACTAGTTTTGTTGTCGAGGATAGTGTTTGCTCAAAGTAAGTTGATAAGAAATTGAAATTTTAGTCATTATATGAATTAATTAGATTGTTGGTTTTTAAAATGTGAAGTAGAGTTGATAAATTGTTAGTTAATAGTTTGCTTCTAATCCCAGAATTGTGGTATTAATTCTTCTCATAGGGCTTTTTTTTCTACAACTAAACTCAACTCCACTCCCTGAACCATAATGATAGACTTGGTTTATAAAGGATTGTTTAATCCTATAGGTGGCAGATGTGAAGGAAATATAATAATAGTACTAATTTAGAATAAGTGATAAATATGTCAATTGTAATAAAACAATATTTATGTTCAAAGAAAATGAAGGAACAAATAAAAGTGGGACGAGTGTTATGATTTGTTTGAAGTTTGTTTTTAATAGAAACACTCAGCTGCTTGATTAATAGATCTTTTTTGAATGGGCGGCTGTTAGGGCCAATATACTCTACTGCCTCTATTATACTGCCCTCATCGGAGCTTTCGAGATTACAAGAACTTGTTATATAAATTTTTATAGGTACCTGCTAATCTTTGTAAATTAATTGTTAACGTAAATATAATAATAATAAGATTTATAAAGTGCACAAATCAACTGCAATAGTGCTCAATGCTAAAATATGTCATTACACTATAAGTAAATAAATAATTAAATACTTCCAAATTTTATTGTACATAAAATTAATAATTAATACTGTAACTTTAATTATTTTGACTGTGTTAATTTTAATTGTTACAATAATCAAAAATCTTAATTATTTAATTGTATTTTAATTTATAAATTGGGATGCTTTTTTACTCTTTTGTAACTGTAATATTTTGTATAGTCTAATCAATTTCAATTTTTGCTTTTGACTTTCTTACCATTTGGTAAAATTCAATCTCTGCTTACTTCAATTGCAATAAAGATATTTTGAAATTTTGAATATGAATTTGGAAGTAAATCTCTTTCTCAAATCTTAAAGATTTAACTAGTAAACTTTCCATGCTCTTGCTATGTTTTTTTATGCATTTGTTCTTTAAAACAATGAAAAAGCATTTATAAATATTGTACTAAAATATGCAATAATTTAGATACAATATTTTGATGAATATAAAATTTATTGGTAAACATTATTTGTCAAATATTATGTTTTAATAAAAAATCTTTTCGTGTTAAAATGTGCAATAACAAATCTGGAAAATAGTTTTTGATGTATCTTTTTAAAAGTTCACTGAATAATGCAGCTATATATTTTTTCCAGGGACAAGAGTACAATAACAACTGCTCTGCACATTTACAATGTGAGCGATGATGCATATGGTCCATTCACTTTATATATAGTTCGAGGAACAACCGTTGGAATTACCCTTGAACTAAGCAAGATAAACGGTTAGTTTATGATTTGATCATATATGGGTGTGATGATGTCATATCATATGGGCATGATAATGTCACACCCATGTATTTCACAGCTATTTATCACAAACTATATTAGTGTGGAGGGACCATTACTAGTGTGGACAGGCCTTTAGTAGTGTGGACAGACCTTTACTGTATCATTTGTATTCTTTGGAAATAAATGCACTATATTAATTTTATTTTAATTAATAAAAAAAAATAATATTAGAGATATTTATGTAATGAGCAAATAACGTAAATATAATTCAATAATAATAATAATAATCAATAATAATAATAATAATAATAATAATAATAATAATAATAATAATAATAATAATAATAATAATAGTAACTTAATGGTCATATGGCGCATATTACAACAGTCTCTATATGCTTGAAATGCCAAGTCTTGAAAGCAGAAAAAAAACCCAAGAAATATCCTAAAACTAACAGAGGAAAGGCAGCAGAAGGAACCAGGCCACTGCTCTGTTCTCCAGCACTTTGAAGCCCTAAATAAGGGCTCACTGGAACATGATTCACAAGCGCTTTAGTGACACTGGCATTGTCATCTGACTGTTCAATACAAGAAAAAAAGCAGAGAAAAAAAAAACATATTAACATATTAAAACGGAAATCAGACAATGGGTGATTTGGTCCTACACTCAAACAGACACAACAAAGATAAAAGCCTGGTTCTCACGAGAGCACTAGTATCCGGATCGGGAGCTAACCGTTAGCGCTAACTGTTAGCACTAACCGTTAGCACCTGTGTGAGAACGCCCTATCGGTTAGCGCTAACCGTTAGCGGTATCCGGATACGCTAACAGTTAGCAAGCGCTATCGGTTAGCAAGTTGAGGGCGTTTCTATCATCAACCAATCACATGTACGTGTTTACAATTTCCAGTTTTTTATTGGCCAGTGATTCGATCATCATATTGTTGGTATCCGGATCGGGATTTTCTCGCATGGACGCACGGCAGCTAACGGTTAGCAGGATCCGGATCCTGCTAACCGTTAGCTGCCGTGTGAGAACATGTACAAAAGTAATATACCTACTTTTTAGAGCCCCAATTACTCTATGGTACTTGAAGCTATTTTAAAATCTGAATGTACTGGCCTTTAATAATCAAAAACATGGACCACTGCGTATCAACTGGAATAGACTTGAGGCTGGGTGAGTTACCCGAAAAAAAGTATTTAGTTCTGTAAAATAACATGTTTGTTTCTCACCATAGATCCTCCGCCAGATGCTCAACCCAACATTATAGAACAAGCCGGTACACAATCTGCTATTGTGTTCAGTGCACTCTCAGTCGTCATAATTGTACTCACACTCTTGGTTATATATTTTAAAACAGACTTGCTTTTGATTTATAAACATTACCTGGAGAAGGAAGCATCAGAGGGTAAGGAAATTTTATTGAAAATTTTGAAACAGGAACAGTGTCTGCTCACATCATATATGTATAAAAAGTCTTGTTTGAAAAATATAAACATTACTGTATTAGCTTTCCTACTTCTGATTGGTACAGAATATGACCTCTTTGAACTTTGAAGTGTATGAACTGAATGTTAGATTAAATAATATGCATGAATTTTACTATTGCTACTCTGAAAGAAGTCTATAAATATAAAGATAATATCTGCAAATCAGTGAACTTACGAATACTGTATGATAAATGTACTGGCGGATCCAGAAATGTCCAAAAGGGGGGGGGGGCCAAAAGTTGGGCCGATCGAGACAACACTGACCTAGGGGGTCCTTTTTCTCTCTCTTTTTTTCTTCTTTTTTTTTACCTCCCAAAAAGGAGGGGGGGTGGGTGCTGGGCCACCCCTGCTCTCAAGAAGTTTGAATTGAAGTGAAAGTTGACAAAGCAAGACTTTTTTTATACCTTGTTTAGTGAACCCGCTACTTGCCAATAATGGTGATTTCGAAGAAAAATAACTCTTTTTTTTTTTTTGCCATTTAGCGCACTCAACTTCACAAAAAAAGAAATTAAAGATTTTCTTAATTTTCATTACACCTGCTGCTGCCTTGAAATCTCAAAAAATAAGATATGTATATTTCTTCCTAATTATATGAATTTAAGGCATTTTACCGTCTCATTACTACACTGTTTACATTCACCAATAAAATTTTATTTTTATTTTCACCTCCATCTGGATGTTTCTGGCAAAAATATTTGTTAAATGAAAAGCCAAAATTTTATTTTTATTCCGCCCTCCTCTGACGATCTTTAAAAAAATAAGTCCGCGAAACAAAGTATGAAACAAGTCTTGCCCAAGCTATAAATTAATATTTATATAAAAGCATGTAAGTCCACACTGACTGCAGTACAGTTTGATTATTGTAGTTATAATGTATAGGTATATTTTCCATTCCATCCATTTCGTAAATGCTAAAATTATGTAGGAATCCTGAACCTCATGCTGGCCTGGCCCTTGTTTTACAGGGAAAACAGCTTTGATGGAATAGAACCAGCAGTGGCGTATCTAGGAGTGTTAAAATGGGAAGGGGGTTGATTGGGGGCGCGACGATAAATTAGGCTTTTGATGATTAAGTGAGAGGGAAGCAAGCTCACAAGATACTGTAATATGAGGTGATTTTTAAGAATTTTGAGCATGATGTTTTTGCTTCAAACATTTTCAAGGGGAGGGGGGTGGGGAATGACTGTAGGATGGTGGGAAGTCCCTCTCCCACCTGCAAACCCCTAGATACACCACTGACAACGAGACACACAAAATCGCCATAGTTCAGTGCACACACAGCCCTTTAATACTAGATTTTACCAAATGCTGCCATTGTATGATAATGAATTCAATCGCACATACAATATGGTCGCCCAAATAATGTTATAGGAACCAGCTGAATTTTTTCATTGGTCTGCTTATTATCAAGGGTTTATTCTAGGAGGTGTTTATTTTTTTTTTTTTGTAAAATGTATATACTCAAATAACCACCCCTTAATATCACTGAATTTTACATATATCTGTAAATTTTCAAAAAAAAAAAAATTTTTTTTTTAAATTTTGACTACTTGTCAAGGTATTTACCATTACAAAATACTGTAATGTATATTTATTTATATATCACAATGTGTGGCAAAGACAAATCAAACCAGTCTCCTCTCAAAAAATGAAAGATATAAAATAGTAAAAGAATCATTTAAATCCAACATTTCGTTATCAAGTTAGAGTAGTTTAAATAATACAGGGTTTAAAAAACAGTATTTGAGAAATCAGCCTTCAAAGTTTACGATTTCAGAGCTTTCTAAGGCAGAGACCATCAATAATTTTTTTTTTAAATATTGTTTTAACATCAAAAATTGGTCAAATAGAAATATAACATGATGTATAGATATATGAAGTTTAGTTTAGCACAATAAAATAGATTTGCAAAATGTTAACATTCCTCATCATGTTTTGGCCTTTATCTCCAAAACATGATTTGCAAGGAGTGAGTAGTTTGGCTTGACTTCCCCACATACTGTATTACCTGCAATAATTTTAGACATTAACATTTTGTATACTTTTAAACTGAAATAAGAAGTAATTAACATACATATTTCAATCAGTGGCTGCACCATTAAGTACATTAATGTACAGTAATATAAAATAAAATATATTTTGTTTATTGTTCAAACTGATAGTAATTTATGTTACATATTAAATGTATTTTACCATTATTAAAATATGTTCAGTACATTGTTTTTATGTGGCATAAAAATTATATTTTTCTACTATGTATTGAGTACTGAATTTTCATATAATATTTTTATAAAATTAATGAATGTTTATGTATATAAGAATTATATGTATTTTTTAACCTAACCTGCTAATAATAACATTTCTGCTACCTACATATTTTTTTTTCATTACCCCAAACTGTATAGTACTACACAAGGGAACAGGTCTACTACAGGTTACATAGTAGGTTTTAGAATTGATAAAATGGGAGCTTCAGATATGTGCAACGACGTGATGCTAGAATGGAATTACTCAGGCGTGACCATTTTACCTGGCGTCCTGCATTCTCTGCATACGTAGATTTGGCCAAATTGCATTCCAGAATCTACTCGACGAGGTGACCTTAACGTTCTCGTATGCGCAGATGACTTTTATTGACGTCATTACGTTCTACGTCCTACCGTCGTGCAATCGAAACCTCCCTAATAAGCATGTGCAACCTCCAAATTATCATAGTTTCTGGGACCTTTGCCCAGGACCACTTCTTTTAATTAATTAATTCAATTAACATTTATTAAATTAATTAATCAAATGATAAATAAAGTTAAAAAAATTAATTAACTAGGATCAAAAATAGAAGTGAAGCTTGTCTCAAGAGATATTGAGGATTGTGGGGCAAACCCTGGCACCATCTCCAATGTGGGTTTTTTTAAATTTTTACTGTATAATTATGTGAGCAATCCAAATGTAAATAGCAAATTTTTATTATTAAACAAATTTAGTATTTTTGTATTTTGTATGTTTTGTTTTTATTATAGATGTGTTTCTCATGTTTTTAATGGTTTGTTTGTGTTTTTAGTTCTCCCGTGTATGTCTAAATAATCTTAATAATATTTGGTTTTAATGTCACGTGCTAAACATACTGTAGTTCTGTATTGCAGTAAGCGGAGTTGTATGTATGTTTGTAATTCGTGACCTGTGGTCATTAGCAAAGAATTAATGTGTTCTTTTAATTAAAAAAAATGTATTACATACTATGTATGAATGTTTATTAGGTCAGTTAGACGCAACCATTTTGTAAAAGTAGTGCTTTGGATATGTATTTTTATGTAATGGTGTACATTTATACTTTATAGTTACATGTACATTTCTTTCAAAATATCAAACTCAAAGAGTTGTTTCACCAAGCTCATGGTGTCTTTTTGCATGGTGCACTACAGGTCTCCCTACAATTATAGACAACTTTCAGGACCGGGGTTTCTGTGGTCTCTAGCAGCTTTGGTCTCTAATTAGAGTAATAAATATAAAATGCATTTGTTAATATGGGACCACAGAAAAGTGGTCTTTAATTGGAGTGGTCTCCAATTGGAGGGGTCGTTAATTAGAGGGAGACCTGTATTAATTATCATGTTTCATGTACAGTCTTATAATAATCTCTTATACTTAGTAATAGTATCAATATAGGCTACGTTCATACCTGAGAGATGTATGAAGCACCAGGGGGATGTGAGAGTCAACCAAGGACATGTAGTGTAACAGTGGGGCAGGGGGAATGTTGAGTGGGAGGGGGTTCTGATGTTGTCTTACCTGTTATGGGGGTCCTGCTCCGTATCCTTCGAAAACTCCGGAGTTTTAAACCATTTAATCCCTTATCTATATTATGTTTCCACACATATTACCTGTTGCCAGGAACGGGGGGGTGGGGGGTGGGTTAGGAGAACATCCCTTGAAGAAGTACACTGTGTGGGCAAATTTTTTTTTTCTCAATGAATGATCGGTATCTCTATTGTTAAGCTGCTTTTCTTTAGTAATCATTAACATGATTGTTATCACTACTCATATTAATGATTATATAGTATGATATAGTATTAATTTTTGTCATATTTTTTCTTATTAAATCTATCTGATAATTTGTTAATTTTGAGTGTAATTTTCCTGTGTTCCTTTATTAGTTTATCGAGTTTATATGAACTAAGTAACTGCTGTTAATAGTCCTGTAGCTTCTGCATTATAGAACTCTTCAGAGGGATTGATGAGTGGGTGTTTCAATAGTGTTTGATCAAATAAGTATCGGTAGTGCACATGCAGGTCTCCACACTGGAAGACTTGCATATTAATACCATAAAACTTATAATAATTACCCATTACTTTATTATAATAACACCCCCTAAATTCTCTAATAGTAACCCACCCTAGAATTTAATCTATAATAATAACCCACTACTCTAATGAAATATCCCATAGGGTTATTATTAAAGTAACCAAAACTATAGACAAAATGGTATTGAAACCAACATTGTTGTCGCTTTAACACGATTTATTCCTTAAAATAGGCAAAGATAATGCATGCGGGTGGCAATCAGCAAAGTTTGTTTACTTGTACTGTAGTTATTTCTTTGTATAAATTGCTGATGCGAAAACTGGGGGAGGGGGTTTACTATTTTCATGTGCCATCCCTAGTTCTTTTGTCAATTTGTTGAAAGGCCCAAATTATTTTTATGGTTGATCTCACGGGCCAAAGATAACCTCCGCGGAGTTGAAAGCAATCGTTACACATTTGTGTGAAACTCTTTCCGCTAAGATAGGTCTTTTTTTTCCCTTTTTTTTAAAATCTTAAATTATACTTTTAATTGTAGGCCTACTATGCTTACAACATGAAAGTTGAAATGAAATTTCTGTGTGGACGTGTCATCAGTTAACAGTCGGACGCTTCAAGTCTCGACATATTTTTTGAAAAATACAAAAAGTTTTTCGCATGTACATAGTACGAATGTAGGACTAGCGAAATGTACTTTTACGAGCACTTTCTTGCGGCACTAAATTCGGTGTAATGCTAAGTATGATTCCTGATGATGACATAATTAATGTCGAAATATTGAATCC